AGGAAGAAGAGTACTGCTGTGCACATATATCTTCACGTTTAAATTGGAATCTGAGCTAGACACCTAGACAGGACGTTCACACTGCCCAAGAGCAAAAAGTTCTTATTGCCAGTTGTCATCAGTGTCTCCTAAAAAACCAAAACACCAGCTCACTCTTCTCAGAGTCCTGCCCATTTCTATTCTCCATTCCACAGTTACCCACACTCCCATCTGCTTTCAGCCTTTTTTTCCATCCTGCCTGAGGCACTTCTCCTGAGCTTCCAGACCCAGATATGGAAGTTCACTCCTATACTTCAGAGTTTACTTCCTCCCTCTATGAGTCTCCATGAGAAATGAAGTACTAGGTCTTCCTGTGGCATGGATTCAAAATGTGCTCTGTAAGCATGTGTGGTTATTTGATCCCAGAAACTTCTTCCCTAAGGCAATAACTCTTCCATCAACTACATCAGTTACGATGCAACAAGGTATGCACACTGACTGGTTAGTTCATTGTTGCCATAAATAACAGAAAACTGTTGAGTAGTCCTTGCTTTTTCTCACCGGGGAGCATTAATTTGAGTTTATGATATCCAGCTGCTGATTGTCATTAAATTCGTCTGAACATATTACTCACACTCTTCCAAATTTGAAAGGTTTAAAATTTACTCAGCAAAAATAAAAGGCATAGAGCATGATCTCAAGGGACTAATTTCCCTAGGAAAGATGGCAAAAAACCTGGGTGCTCGCTGCATTATCACAATTCTGCCAGGACATAATTCACAGAGAGAAAGCAAATACATGCTGGGAAAAGAAACCAACCATGTAATAGCCTCTCAGTCCCAAGCCCTTAGGCCCAAGGATGAGGAAGGTGAGGTTACTCATACAACTGCTGTTGATACTCTCCTCTTGAAAGGCACTTTTCTGAAGCTACAGAATTGCAATCAATATCAGCAGCAATAAAAACCTGAGATTGCAGCTGCTCCCTATGTGACGCACACGTATGAGTCACATACCTAGTGGCACCTAGTGAAGGTAAACTTAGGGGTCTGTTTTGTAAGTCCTTTTTTAAAAAATGTCGGTCATAAACTAGACAAAGGTAATTCCAGTGAATTTGTGCATTCTCAGTCTCCACTGAAACATTGGTAGCTGTTCATACTCAGGATTTTGTAAGACAAAACTCTAAAAATACAGTAGAAAACACAGAAAATGAGAGCTTGTTTGCTGCAGACATTTTTTCATGAGATAATGTTTTAGAAAAATGCATTCTTCTCTGAAAAGAAATATCACCATCTAGTAGAGCACCATTATCAAGGGAGACCAATACTTCTATCCAGAGGTATGAGCTTTAAAATCTCATTTAAAGTATAATAAATTAATCATCTACGGAATCAACTTCTTTGAGGGCTACATGTTATTTAAACATCAGGAACATTTTGGATTTGTGATCAAAGCATGGCAGTCTGGCCACTGAAACTAGCCAATTTGTCCCACTGCCATAACAGCTGAGATGGAAAAACTAATGGGAATTTTATGTGCTTGTCAAAGTATATTTATACAATTATGTGAAACCTACAGCATAAGCAGATGATTTTGCAAGGCTTTCTCATTAAAAAGCATGTAGTTTCAGAACACAGGACTGAATCTTAACTTTGGTAACTAGCCCTGAGTATTTGGCTTATCTCAAATCTCACATTTTGTCACTACCATCTGCAGCTTGAAAAAACATGTTTATGCATATTTTAGCAATGTGACTGTAGATTTTCTAGTTTTTAAAATTGCAATTGATGGTTGGTACACTAGAATTCAATGTTATGTTTTCATGTTGGAATTTTGAGTGAGGTCTCAGGGTGTAGTTCATGGATATTTTATCCAGAGAAAAAGCTGATCTAAATGATTACTTCCACATAGCTCATCTTATTATCTCTATCATTATGCCTACGCAGTTCTTCAAATAAGATCAATGAAATGATCCAAGTGAAGAAAAATTTAACCTTCCCACTCTTCCCTAAAGGATTTAAAACATCTCTGCTGCTAGAAGAAATGTTCATGGAACTACCATTTGCATAAACCTTTCTGGTTCTACCTCTAAATTTCAACCTTCATGTATTTGGACAAAGCAATGCCTATCCTTTCTGTAGCAGCAGAGATGACTGAAGCTGAAAAATTATACAAATCTTATTTGCTAATGACTCACAAACCATTCTATATTCCCACCAGATTTTATGATGTAAAAACATTCACAATATATTTAATGTCGCAAATAACCAGTGGAATATTTACAAATAGTTTTCATTTTAGTGATTTTATATCCTGCTCTGATTAAGCCAGAGAAGTTTCATGGCTTTTCCCCCCTGATTTTATGTCTGGAAATAGAAGAAAAAAGACTACTACAGTTAATTTCTGAAGAGCAAAAGCTGTTTCACAAATTATCCCCATACATATGGAAATAACAGCCATTGTACCCATACAGCTATTTTGTAAACTACATTCATATGAAGATTTATGAAGAACAAGTATCAATAACCAGAGAACTGGGAGTACTGCTGGTGTAGTATTCACTTAGCCTTATCAAACAGCCATTTATCATGCCCAAGCAAGGACAGAAGACAGGAAGTAGCCAGTCCAAATTTCCTCCTTGTTGTAATTGTCCCAAGATCCAATGCTGAGTGCTGCTACCATTGCTTCAATTGTGAAATTTCCTTTATTCATTTCAGGGAGAGTTCCACAGACGCACAGGTCATGGGACCCCACCCTTAGTGGGTCAAGGACACAAAGTAGCTACAAGCTCTTCATAAACAGGTGATTAAAACTCATATTCCTAAAAGATGGAAGCTGTTTTATTACCAAGTGAAGCAGACAACTAGTGTGGCAATATCATTATTAGAAAACGCCTGGATGGCCATCCGAACCTGCTTGGAAAATAAACAGTTTATGTAGAATTAAAGTGCACCTAGACTCAGTGCGAAGCAAAACAGTCCAAATGCTCTAGTGAAATAGATCTTGGGCACTGAACAATCCATACAAAACAAGCACATTGAAGTTTTCCACCTTTACTCTTTACCACTGTATCCTGCCAGATGTCACTGGCCTCCCAGAACAGCTGCCCCTAGTGCATCCTCGTCAGAATCAGACAGGTAAGAAGCAATAGCTTGCTGTGACTGAAACAACTAGAAAACGGCTCCACAGAAAGCGTGGAAGAGAAAAACCTGTTGAGGAGATATGAACAGTCATTGTTTTCACTGGCAAGGCATTCTGCAGAGTCCATATTTGTCTACATCCAGATTTTGGATCTGGCCTTGCCTTGCTGTCACATTAGCAGAGGCCTGATGTGTTCTGGAGTGGGTATGACAGACTATGTATATGATTTATAATTTTCAGTGGATTATTGCATTTCTATTTCAGTTCTTAGATTGATTTGTCTCACTTGTGTCAGCCATATCCAGCCCTGTGCTGCCACTTTACTGAAGTGTTATAGGTAACCCAGGGACACAAGCAGTAAAGACCTCTGCTCTGTCCTGAGGATTAGCCTTGTTTCAGCTACAGCATGTACTGCAGCCCTGTAGACATAGACAAGGAAAGCTGAGAATTGTATAATTGATACTAACTCCTTTTCAAAAGCCAGGGAAACACCACTGCTGCCAAACGAGAGTTTTCTAGACTGTTAGCATAGTGCAGCTGTAATCATGGCTGTTTCCAAACGAAGAAGAGATGAAAGTATTGTTAGCCTCTAGGCACTACAAAGACCAGAATCTCATAGTTAAGCACCATGTAATCCCTACAGACATCCCATTTAAATTGAGTTCTTGACCTAGTTAAATGGGAGTTTCTTCTTTTAACCATGACATGAGTAATTGAGGTTCACAGGAAATGCTCCATTTAGATCAACTCCCAATTAAATGTACTCCAAGTAAACAGTTTGAACTTCCTGATAAATCAGCTACGATAATCTGAGTGATATGAGATACCCCAGTACACCTCTAAACCTGCAATAAGGAAGAACTACAAGCAGGTTGCAGGATAGTGGCAGCTTCTGTGAAGAAAGAAGTCTCTGTCTACCAGTCTAACTACACACACATTCATATATATGTGTCTATACAGACATCTATATATGCATCACACACCTGGCAATGATATCAGTAACAGAAGATTTATTTACTGAATATTTTGGAGCAATTGCCATGCCTCTGACTATCTACCTGGGTATCATCTTGATATCTTTGATCTAAAATCATGCTGCCAAGAAAATGTTGCTCACCTCTGCTGAAAGATAAACTCTCTCCTCCAAATTTCCAGCAAGATGTTTCCCACAGAACTTCAGGGACTGTAAACCCCACTTTTGGTTGTAAGCATGACAACAGAGGAGTTGGAATAATTAGTTTGGAAATCACCAGTTTCCCATATAGGAGGATAACTAACACAAAACTTAGTGATGAGTTTACTATCTATAAAGCTTACAAATATCATCATGCTCATTTGTATAAGCAGTCCAACTGACATAATTTACATCTCATAAAGCTAAGCTTGTAAGTATTTGCAGGGCTATGGCCTATATTTAAAGAAGACAAAGCTGTCAAGTCTGGCATCTCTTACCTTGCAGGACTAATAACAGGAAGTGTTTTCCACAGGAAATTAAAGTCTTCTTAATACAACATCTTGGGTTTTGAGCTAATAGTATTTTTATACCCACAAAAGTAACTTCAGGTCATTTTTAGGCATATTTCTTAGTTAAATGTTGATTTTTATGAGGTTGCATTGATAGAAACAAAAATATCCAGGTATCTTTATAGACAGAGGAATGAAAACTAGGATAGAACAGAACAGAACAGTTCAGTTGGAAGAGACCTGCAACAATCATCCAGTCCAACTGCCTGGCCACTTCAGGGCTGACCAAAAGTTAAAGCATGTTACTAAGAGCATTGTCCAAATGCCTCTTAAACACTGACAGGCATGGGGCATCGACCACCTCTCTAGGAAGCCTGTTCCAGTGTTTGGCACCCCTCTCAGTAAGTAAATGCTTCCTAATATCAAGACTGAACCTCCTCTGACACAGCTTTGAACCGTTCCCACATGTCCTGTCACTGGATACCAGGGAGAAGAGATCAGCAACTAGTCCAGTAACTTTGTTAAAAACCTTTTGAAACTCCCTGAATAGTTCTCCTAAGCAGCTCTGCAGCATGCAAAAGAAAAGGATAAAACTTTTGGCACTTTTAAAAATGTAATTAACAAAAATCCACCCCAACAAAAGCTTCCCTTCTATAACACATAATCATTCTTTCCTCATTGATAAAGGTATATATTATATTTTAAGTTTATTCTAAGCATACATGTGTCTGCTTATGTGGAAAACACCATTACTTTATGGGTTAAATGTATAGTATCAAGACAGCTTTCTGATCTGAGATTTCACACATCTTTCTCTTAACTAGATTAAAAATCCCCTCATTCCCTAAGACACTAATTCATTCTAATGAATTAGTATTCAAATAATTTAGTTCCCATTCCTGCAAAATTCTGAATAACATAACAACAAATGCTATGGTTTTCAGAAGCTTTTTTTCAGTAGAAAATAAGAAACAAGGAATTGACTTCATCCTGTAGAATTCCCAGAAAGGCATGGGGCTAAATTCTTTGCCTGTTGGCTTCAGCAGACTTAAACCAGCTAGATCTGGCTCACCAAATTAAAAAAAAAGACTGTTATTGAATTAAAGCATAGTTTAGATTTATTTATAAAGGACATCAGTAATATTATCTCTGTTAAATTATTTTTCTTTGTCTGTAAAGAAACATTTAACAACTTATAACTGATATTGCCCTGGATTTCATCATATTCAGCAAGTAAATGTATCTTAAGTTCTTGGTCCTCATGTCTGCGTTCTTTTGATTGCATGCTATATATGTTGCTCACTGTGACATTTCCTTTGAAGATCGGTCAGTGCTGTAGAAGAAATCCCTGGTGGAACTCAGAAGAACAGCAGACAGAATCTGCTAAGTTTAGGTTCCACCTTCTCCGTGTCTACAAAGGACTACACAGCAGCTGCTGCATCACAGAAATGTTTGTTCCACAGGAAGGAAAAGGTGACTAATGAAAAACATATAAGCTGATTTCAAAATGCAAATATCGCTAAAGAGAAAGCTCTCATCCAGTTGTTTGCCAGTGACGTGCATATTAGCTACTGAGTCATCCCACTAGATGAGTAGTCTAAGTTGACAGACTCCAAATTAGGCATGATCCAATTGTGATAACTCAAAACTGAATGCAGTGAAAGCTGTTGTCCATAAAGACTTAGCAAAAGCTTATAACCAAACCCTCTCTGACCTACATGTGTGATTTCTGCAAGCATCAAACACCATATGGACTGTTTTCATCGACAACTTTGACAGGACCTTCAGAACAGCAAAAACATTTACAGATACACTAAACTCAAACGCTTGCTGGTCAACCGTTTAAACTGGACTTAAATTTTTCTTAGACTGTATGCCTGGACAGAAAGTATAGGCTTGCAGCGAGTGTGCCAAAACATTAGTGCACCTGCGGGCATATTTCTAGTTGCTGATTTGTTGTACAACTCTGTTAAATGGGAAGGATAATGTTTCTTTGGCAGTCGAATCACAAAATCCAGAAATAACTGAATCTCAGAAAACTCCACAATGCTGCTGTCCATGGAGCCTTCTGTTGTGGAAGTAGAAGGGACAGGTTTCAGGCTGATGAGTCCTTTCACCTGTTCCCAGCTCCAGATTGACCAGTGGCAGAACTTTGATCAAGAGTTTGTTAGATACTTTGGAAATTATCTTTTTATATATAAATTTAGTTTTAAATTTTGTTAATATGATTCTTGCTAAGATAATAATTGAGTTCCTCAGAAGAAGTCCAGCAACTTTTACAACAGTTTTTATGTGATACAATGGTCTGTTGGCAGGACAATACTAGTATTATGAAACAAACAAACATTAAATTTTCTCAAAAAAGACCTAATGAGTCAAGGCACTTGCACTTGCAAACATTTAGTTATTTCTGTCTGCTTCAAGGATCTAAAAGCATAGATGAATCTGAAAAAAAAACAACATGCAAAATTCCTTAAGGTGGATGCTCGGCAAGAAAGAAAGCATCTTGTGCTGTTAAAGTTTGTTGAAGTTAAAGCAAAAGAATACAATGTCTGATAATAGGAAATATCAATCAACCCTCATTAAGGGAAGAAAGCAGCTCTGCATTTTAGTCTGCTTCCCTATGGAAGCCAGGCTTATGAAATCACAGTGGTGTGTATGTATATGTGTACATGTCTGTGACTGTCCTCATAGTAACTTGGGAATCAAATGGGAAAAAGACCCAGAAGAAATTAAGTTTCTTGAAAATAGGTGCCTTGCAAAGGAAATGATTCTTGGTTAAGAGCCTTTACAGAATAAAAGACTTCAGCATGAGTTTACCCCTAATTAGACCTCAGAGAGTCCACACAGGAGAGACCCCAAACAGAGAGAAGTCTTCAATCAGCATTTGCACCTTATTAGACGCTGAAGTCAATTAGCTACAGCATACAGATCAACAGAAATGGGTTTCATTGGTACTGGTATTTGGGATCTTCGTTACATTATGGAGACATTCATTAAATTTTTAAACTGCCTCCTTACAGTTTTCAGGTCCAGAATTTGTTATTTTGTCTAGTGAACCACCAGTGACCTTACAGCTGCCTGGATCAATCGTGGTAAGTATGAACATTAAGAATTTAGAAAGAATCTAGTAACCTTTTAGTTGGAGCTTTTTGTAAGTTGCATCTGAGTCCCAACCCAGTATTCTTGCCATGTCCTCCTCCAAAATGAAGCTAGGGTTCCTGCAGAGGTACTGAGACTTGAAAAGAGGTCATTTAATTCTCAGTGCTATGTAGTTACTTCTGTTGATGTGAAAATAGCTTTATTTATCCTTCTCAGCTAAGAATGCTCACTTTAACACAAGACTTTTGAGACAAAGATTATACAGCAACTATGCAATGTAAGATCTAGTGAGAACATATTAGACACCTCAGTTTGCAGGCACATCCTCTACCTTTCATTAAGATAAGGTAGAAGGCTGACAGCATACAGCAGTCAAAATGAGGGGAAAAAAAAAATTGAAATTACCCTCAAATCTAGAATAACCCTGGTGATTATAGCATCTGAGTATGCTCAGCTGTTTTGTTGGGATTCCCTGGGCTTTTCAAGAATTAGAAATGTTTGGGATATTAATTTATGAGAAGGTAGGTAGGGAACAGCATAGTGTTGTGACCAATTCCATCAGGTTATACAGAGACAGGAGACTACGGGGCCTCAGTAATAAAATGCAGTGGAACTTGCATTGCTTTTATTTGGTGCTCATTCTTCATTCTTTGTTACATGTTCTTAGACTAAAAAAGGGAAATCCTACTTGTCCCAAAGGGACCTCAATGTGATTCTACTCAACGGGCAGTGCCTTGAGGTGCAATGTGACATCAAGTCCAAGGCAAGAGATGTTTTCAACACTGTGGTGGCATATGCAAACTTGGTGGAACATTTCTACTTTGGTTTGGCTTATCTGAAAGGTAAATGAGACACAGATAACTACAGTAACAGTTCTCTCCCTCCGTGCCTCTGTAGCAACTTTTTTAATGAATACCAGTAAAATCCTTTAAGATCCTCAGATGTAAGCAGGTCCAAAGCTTAAACAAAAGTAAGGCACATTGGTTTAAATTGTACTGCACTGATGTAAAGTATGTCTACCCTAGGACTATGCATCAGCACAGCCATAATGTTACTGGCTGATATGCTCATGCAGAAAAGGCTGTGTCCCTGCCTTGCACTGGAATAATACCAAGCTATGCAGCTCCAGCAGAAATTCCAGGAAGCACTGTACTGAGGAAGGCTAACTGTCTTTGTTCCTACATATAAGTTGAAGTACAGGCTCAGGTATTTCATCTACAAGACCCATGTTTCCCTAGCCCATTTCTGATGACAAGCATGGCTGAGGAATTAGGAAGAGGCATACCTTATGTGTAGGGCACACAATGGGGTGCAGAAAGTGAATGGTGAGCAGAATGCAAGCCACATCAATTATTGAGTGATTCCATTGTAATCCTAAATTACATACTGTGTTATTCTAAATATTCCATCTCAGAAGTAATAAATTAAGCCATGAAGCAGAAAGTAAGTCTCAACTGACATCCATGATTAATTTTATTTTTTATTGCTACTGATGCACTGAATGAAGATAGCAGAGCTTTGAGCTACTGAAGTATCTCCAGACTTACCACAGAACCTAAAATTCTCATTTCAGGTAAAGAATTCTTTTTTTTGGATGACGAGACCAAACTCTACAAAGTTGCCCCAGATGGCTGGAATGACCAACCCAAGAAGAAAACCTCCATCATTCTCTTTCTAAGGATAAAATTCTTTGTCAACCACTTTAATGTTATCCAGTAAGTGCGTGGTTCTGCTGACTGTAGGAAAAACAGCAGCATTTAGGGTGACTGTTCAAGGCTTCTCCTGTGTTCCTAAACTCTTTTGTGTTCCAGGCACGGCTTGACAAGGCATCAGTTTTACCTGCAGCTTCGTAAAGATATTTTGGAGGAGCGATTATATTGCAATGATGAGACTGCCCTGAAACTCGGTGCTTTGGCTTTACAGGCAGAGCTTGGCAATTATGCTTCTGAGGTGTGGATAAATAATACGATATTTCTCAGAGGTCTCTCTTGACATCTTTTTCAGCTTTTGTTTGTCATCGAGTTTAAAGAAGAAATGTGAATAGCACATAATTTCAGCTAAGTCCTTCAGTAATCACATTTCGGATTTAATTAAAAATATACAAAATTTGCCTGATTAAGGAGCAGTAATGAGCCAGAAAAATTTGGCAGGAAATATGGCAGAACGGTGAAAGACCCTTTGTCCTTCATAATTGATAACATAGCCCAGAAACTCCAGAAAATCTGTAGAAAATTTCCAACATAGGCATAGCTTGGATGTGCAGAGGGGCTTAAAGAGATTAGAAAACACGGAAGAGAAAAACAAACGTTCCAGAATTGACTACTATTTTGCGTGTAGGCTCAGATCCGCAAGCTGCAAAGACAGGAAGGTCACTGGTGGTGTACCTGAACTAGTTATCCCAGTTTTGAAGTGTACAGAAAATACCCATTTCTGTTCTCTGCCACCTCTTCAGTTGTATAAATCATTCTAACTCTATTAATTGAACTCTGAGTGGTTTGATCCATCTGGTGGTCAGATCCATCTTGGCATTGGGTCCCCCATTGTAGGTTGTACTGATGCAGCTGTAGCTGTCAGCTCGAAGTGCAAGACTGCAGGCATGCCTGCAGGCCCAGCTCTTTTATCCTCTCTGCACACAGAAGTAGTGTGGGCTTTGACCACCTGGCTGAGCACAGGTGCAAGAGGCACATTTGGCTGTCAGGATACTACCTGCTGTTCCCCATCTTCTTTTAGTAAATGGCAACAGGGTGACTGCAGCATATGGGTCACCCTGAAAACAGAAATGCATCAAACAAGAAAAATCAAAAGGAATAAAAGGATTCTCTCTATTTTTTTTTCTTTTAAATTTTTTATCCCAAAGATGCATGGAAAGAGCTATTTTCGTGTTGAAGATTACATTCCAGCAAGCCGAATAGAGAAAATGACCCTGGCATACGTACAGCGAGAGCTTGCTAAACTACATCGTATGAATCGTTCTCTGTTTGAGGATGAGGCTGAACTAGAATTTTTAAAGGTAACTTGCCGTACTCCAAACATTATTTGTTTATTTTGAGATAGAAAGCCCCTTTCTATTTACAATTGTCTATTGTTTCTTTCTTTTCTGATACAGTGGATTTTAGATATGGTGAACAAATTTGAACAGTCATTAAAAAACCTCAGAGTTTCATTCAGCTCTAGATACTGTCACTCTAAATACCTTATATCACATTTACATGGCGGATTTCTTTTCACTCATAGTTTATAAAGAGTTAATGCACATTTCAAGGTATTTTCAACATCCTAAGGGTTGATGCAAATTTTCAGTATGTTACCTACATGTCTGGGTTCCAGATGATTATAAATATACCTACTAAATGTATTAGAGATGATTACAAACCATGGGAATAAGCACTTCCTTCGCTTCTGAAACTACAGCAGCTGTTCAGCCACTCTCTAAACATGTAGAGTGATTATTTGTTTAAAAATATCTGTGAACACTGGAAATGAGGAAGGAGTTATATGAACTATTTTCTCACATGGCTATTTCTCTAGGGCTCTAGAGGGTCACGATGATGTAGGATTTCTTTTTTTTCACTAATTTCTCCTTCTCCCCAAACTTCTCTGCTTTCCATCAAATGAAAAATATCAGGGATTAGATAATGGATAAATATCAGTAGCTGTTTTGCTGCAGTGCCACACGCTTTTAATTATAGCATCATTTTAGTTCGGTTGCTGTTAAATTATGTTAGTTCCTCATCTAACACTGTCAATGGAGTTGAAGAAATAGATTGAAGCTTAGCCTTAATGACAGTACCGTCATGCGTGGCAAATCCAATGAAGAAAAGCAGCTTTGTTAGTATCTGTTTCAATGAATAAATATGTAGAACAAGCCAACGCATCATACAAAGTGAGAAAGATAGCCCCCATGGCAAGAACATGCAAATTCCAAATATGAAAGGGATTAAAAATTAAAACCTAGATTCAGCTAGTGATTATAGATGCCCCAGTTTTCAGGACCTGAACATTTGTGCTCTGCATACCTTCTGAAAAACAGATTTTCTTAGTGTTTTATTGTGGTCACTGAAAATCTCTATTCACAGTTGAAAAGTCATCTGGGGATTCTACATTAGTTTCCCAGAAAAAAAAAAAGTTATAGAATAAATTCGTATTGATCTGCAGATCATAAAACAGGATGGAAAACCTCCCTTATACTCCATAGCTCTGTAAAGGGTCTGAGTCACATTTTAGCATTTTGTGACCAAGTGCAAGACAAGTAACAACACCCAGAACCCCTGGGTGACTTCCTCAGAGTATCCGCTGCACAGTTAGATGGCAGGGGCAGAAGCTGGCTCCTCAGTCCCTTGAAGTATAATCCTACCTAACTTTTCACCCAGCAATGAGCGTTGTGCAAGAAAGGAGCAACACTGAAGACCTGTTACTATAAAGTCTGGCACTGAAGGGAATTCTGGCACGGTGAAATTCCCTCAAAAGTCACCACTATATTTAGGTGAGATACTTCAAGGTACAATTTAGGAAACCCTGTAACTTAAGATTCTTGGTAATGAAAATTTATAATGTCTTATTTTAAAATATGATACCCCTGAAGGAATGGGCATATGTACCTAAGTGAGTTCATTGCAGCTTGGGAGCTGTGGTGTCACTGCAGTTAAGATTCCCAGTTAGTCATCACTTTTGTAAGAAGGAAACCAGAGAAGCCCATAACAATATCGGAGTAGCCCTGGCACCAAAAGATTAGCAGTTTTACTAAGATCATCGTATTTGCTGTACCTCATGGTTTCTGGGTTTGCTCAAGGAAACAAAGACACAGAAAAGAAAATGGAAAGAAATGAAGTTTAACGGTAGTCAAGCAGCATTAATCCTGCATGGATTTCTATTCAGAAACGCACATAAGTGCCAAGCAGCAGTAATGCTGAGTACCTCAGTGCCACTGTAATGTTTAGATTATTGTGCAGGAAGCTACATAATCCTCCTGCCTCTTCTAACGAGGTGTGTGGGAGAGTGTTATTTCAATGTTACACATGGAAAATGAACGCAAGTAATGGCTCTACGACATACCAAAATAAGGTGATGATTCTGTGAGGTGGTAGGTGTGAAAATTTGGTAAAGGTTTTCAAAGGTTTCTTGACAGAGTGAAAGAATATTTAGTAAAGACAATCAAAACCATTTCCTCTCCCATCTACCTACCTTTTCTTCCCATGCCCATTTTTGAATACCACATGGTAAATGCACTTTTTCTCTACAAGGTGACTCAGCAACTTCCTGAATATGGAGTGTTATTCTATCGTGTGTCCCAAGAGAAGAAAGGAGCAGGAGGGGACATCATCCTGGGAATCTGTGCCAAAGGCATCATTGTGTATGAGGTCAAAAATCACACAAGAATTGCCAGTTTAAGATTCCAGTGGCGTGAAACAGAGAGAATTTCAGCTCATGTGAGTTGGAATCAAGCGAATCTCTTCTCCGCTCTACTACTTTACTCCTCTTCTGCCTGTCGCTTTGATAAATTTACTGCATTTGGAGCCAAAATTAGACTCATTCTCTAAACGCAAGTCCATTTAGAAAACAGTCTAAAATCAAGGCTGGATCTGGATGTGGATACCAAGATACCCGGTTCTTAGTGAGGTTTAGTTCCAGAGTTTTTCACCAAGGCTGAAGTCAAATTACTATAAAACTGAACAACCTGGTGTTGACTATTACAAAGACTATGTCATAGAATCATAGCATGGTTTGGGTTGGAAGGGACCTCAAAGATCATCTAGTTCCAACCTCCCTCCCTTGGGCAGGGACACCCTCCACTACACCAGGTTGCTCAAAGCCTCATCCAGCCTGGCCTTGAACACTTCCAGGGATGGGGTATCCACAACTTCTCTGGACAACCTGTTCCAGTGTTTCACCACCCTCATTGCAAAAAATCTCTTTCTTGTATCTAATCTAAATCTACCATCTTCCAGTTTAAAGCCATTGCCCCTTGTTTTATCACTATATACCCTTGTAAAAAGCTGCTCTCCAGCCTTCCTGTAGGCCCCCCTTTAGGTACTGGAAGGCTCCTAGAAGGTCTCCCTGGAGCCTTCTCTTCTCTAGGCTGAACAACCCCAACTCTCTCAGCCTGTCTTCATAGGAGAGGTGCTCCAGCCCTCGGATCGTCATCATGGCTCTCCTCTGGACTCACTCCAGCAGCTCCATGTCCTTCTTGTGTTGAGGACTCCAGAGCTGAATGCAGTATTCCAGGGGGAGTCTCATGAGAACAGAGTTGAGGGGCAGAATCACCTCTCTTGACCTGCTGGCCACGCTTCTTTTGATGCAGCCCAGGATACGGTTGGCTTTGTGGGCTGCAAGGGCACATTGCTGGCTCATGTTGAGCTTCTCATCAAGCAACACTTCCAAATCCTTCTCCTCAGCACTGCTCTCAATCCATTCTCTGCCCAGTCTATACTTGTGCTTGGGATTGCCCTGACCCATGTACAAGACTTTGCACTTGGCCTCGTTGAACCTCATGAGGTTCGCACAGGCCCTGCTCTCCCCCTCTGGATGGCATCCCTTCCCTCCAGCGTGTCAACCACACCGCACAGCTTGGTGACATCCGCGAACTTGCTGAGAGTGCACTCAATCCCTCTGTCCATGTCGCTGATAAAGATAGTAAACAGCATCAGACCCAATACCGACCCCTGAGCTGAATGCCACTCGTCAAACCTCTTTATGGCATATTCCGTTTTCATTCCTCTCTCGTCTTCTCTTTCTCTTTTCTTTTGTTCTCCTACCTACATCAGGTCATGGGATCATGCTTCCCTCTTTCCAGATCTCATTATTCCCATCCTCATCTCCTAGTACATTGATGTCTGTTAACAAATAGGTATTGGTGACAAGATTGTGACTCCTTCTAAATGGTACTCTGCCATCAGAGGTATATCAATCTACCATCGTACAGTGTAGGTGTCAACCTGCATCACACATTTCCCAGCCTGTTTACTCTCCTGAAATGTCCCTTCTGCCCCTTGAAGATATTTTCATTTTCACATTAAATCGATTTAACTATTTTAACATCTGTATGGCCAAATTTTGCCAGTTCCATAAACCTGCTCTCAATGCAGTCAATGTCCAAAGGCTCTTGCCTTTCAACATAGGGCAGTTATGATCCCAATGACAGCTACCTGACTAAAAACTGTTGAATTTATGATAGACATTTTCTGCACCCAAAAGACATGCAGCCAGGCATAAATACAACTGGACAAAAACCAAAGATTATAAAAAAGAACTTTCAGTGCTTCAGTGTAATGACTGATATATGAAGTAAGCTGTGGGTTTTTCTACCTTTAGAGAAAAAAATTCATGATTGAAAGCAGCTTCAGTGGCAAGAAACACACCTTTGTTACCGATACAGCAAAGACATGTAAATATCTACTGGACCTCTGCTCTGCCCAGCACAAATTCAATGCACAGATGAATTCTAGACAACTTCGGCAAACTTCATCAGGTGAGGTATATATACACTTTCGTTATTCAGGCCTTAGGACAAGTTTAGGTTTTAGGAAAGGTGCTTTCAGTGAAGCTGAGAATCAGAACCTGACACATCAGTTTCATTGTGCTTCAGTTTCTCATTTGTAGGTTAGAAAATAATGTCCCCTACTTCACTGGAAGTTAGAGAAGTGCAAGTCTAATTTAGCCTATGCATGTGAGTAGGCAAGTGCAGGGGGTGGAGAGGGGTTCTCTGATGATAATAACTATGTAGCTAATCTCAGATTTTTTAAAAAAGCATGATTACACTTCCCTTCAGGAAACCTACTGAAAATTCTGAAGAAACATCTCAGACTTACCCTAAATGTAACCTGAGAACTGTTCCACACAAAAAGTAACTAGAGTAGTGTCCAGATATGTTGCAGCTGAATTTAGTTAACTGGCTATCTTTGTGTAAAACAAGGATTACACCCTACAGTTCAGTCCCAGGACAAAACCACTAAACCAAAGGCACATCAGTCATATCCACTCAACTATGTAGCTGCCAACTGCTCTGATCTTAGATTTTGCCATGACTGTGGAAGATATGACTAATACCTCCTTTGACTTCAGATTTTCCATAGTTTCTAAGACAAGATTCTGCTCAACTCAGGGCAGTTACATAGCACTTCTCACCCACAGTTCTCAGCGTGCTCTGTTAAGATGGGTGAGGATCATTATGGTGAAACTGAGTGTCATAGTTTAAACCTAGCTGGCAACTAAGCCCCACACAGCTGCTCACTTACTCCTCCCCCCTGGTGGGATGGAGGAGAGAATCAGAAAGATAAAAGTGAGAAAACTCATAGATTGAGATAAAGACAGTTTAATAGGTAAAGCAAAAGCCACACATGCAAGCAAAGCAAAACACGGAATCTATTCACTACTTCCCATCAGCAGGCAGCTGTTCAGCCATCTGCAGGAAAGCAGGGCTCCATCACAAGTAAGGGTTACTTGTGGAGACCAAACACCATCACTCAAAACATCCCCCCCTTCCTCCTTCCTTCCCCAGCCTTATATGCTGAGCATGATGTCATACGGTATGAAACATTACTTTGGTCAGTTGGAGTCAGCTTCTTGTGCACCCGCAGCCTACTCAATGGTGGGGTGGTGTGAGAAGCAAGAAAAGGCCTTGACTCTGTGTAAGCACTGCTCAGCAGTAACAAATACATCTCTGTATTATCAACACTGTTTTCAGTACAAATCCAAAACATAGCCCTGTGGTAGCTACTGTGAAGAAAATTAACTCTATCCCAGCCAAAACCAGCACACCAAGGCACATAGAAAATAACAGCCTAAGCTGACAACTGTCAACACTCTTCACTTCAGTGGAGCAACATGAGTTTTCACTAGCTGAGGACTCGTCCATTGCCTTAAACAGAATCATGATCATTTACAACCACTGACTATTTGACTGTCACAGCAGGAGAATCAAGCGTCATGTCTTATCTGCTGGGATACTCCTTTCTCTAGTAAAACTGTAAGTGTTGGCAAAAAATTATATAATGGGAAAGAACAGGATGATTGATATATTGCTTCTTTCCCACTAAAATTATTTATTGAAAAGTGAAATTCCACCTGCTCAAATTTGTTGCCATGGAAAAAGGCACTAGGATGACATTTAGGTTCAAGGCACCTTTTGTTGCTTGGGATCCCGTAGCTTCAAATGTAACTTAGTGGGACTGTGATTTGTAGCATATGAATGAGTGCTAATAGTGAATCTCAAAGTTTTCTGTGTCACATCTACTTGTGGTAATATATCTTAATAAAAATTACTACATTCCATATATAAGAGAACAAAAAGGCTGAGAGCTAAGAAAATTATAACCCAAGTCCTGATTACAAGCACCCCAAATCGCTAAAACAAGCCAGACTTAACAAGCCATGTGGCTGCAGGTTCTCAAGTTCAGTGTGTTCTTTCTGTCCCAGAAAAAAAGGCTTTGTGAAGGCAATGATAGACAGTGGTTCAAAATGCTGCCTCTGCAACTACAGTCAGGCTGTAAGAGATTATAAGGTTCTTTCCACATAAGGAAGACTCTTCCCTCTGTTGCACTGTTCAGATGTATAACTCACCATCTCTTCAAAACCTGATAGCAACCCCCGACTTCGAAATCACCATGGCAACTCTCAGACTGCAAAAAAACTGTGGACAGTTAAGCCTTCTGATGCCTTAACAAATGCCCCTGATCAAAGTCCCTGAGGAAGGAGGGAGCCTAGGTTTAATGCTGCAGAGAAGCATTCTAGAAAGTTGCATTCAGGCTAATATTCTTTAGGGGAATGCACGGGAGGTCAGCTGTCCCATACAAACAGAATTAAAGCCCATATTAGTGCTAGACTGTACCAAGTAGGGTTCTTGTTTTACTTTCTGATGTGTCTCCAGTTGCCTTCTGCCCCTCTCTGTCAAATCCTCTCTCCAGCCCACCAGTTGAGAACCTAAATAAATCAACAATGTCTCCTCCAGTACTAGCTTTTTCAGGGAAATAAAATATTTTGAGAGGATAGATTCGTGTATACCAGAGCCCAGATATCATTAAGCAAGTAGTAGATTTCACACAGATGTGGAAAATTGGATAACAAGCATTGCCATCAAGATGGTCCCCTCCTCAACTTCACTTATGCAAATCGCTGAGAGCAAACAGCCAGTTCCTTGGGCTCTCTCTGAACTAAGAGAGCATGTGTTAATAGAGCTCCTGTCTTCACAGATGTACGTATATGGGAGTGGTGAGTCCATGAAGGATGGGAAACTACCAATCTGTCTAATTCAGTCTCTGACAAATAGATATTTCCCATACACTGAACATTTACAAAATATACTTTACAGAGAGATTCAGGTTTAATTTACACAGAGCTGTACATTTCATCTGTCTTTTTGGAAAATGAATTTGCAGTATAATTCATAGAAATGAAATCCAAATACAGCATATACTTCCCATGAAAGAAATGGATTGGAAACCTTTTCCACTCACTCCAAGGCCTAGATGTCTTCAAGGATACCAGAACAAATATATCTGTGTCGATCTTTTTTGCTGGCATGTTCAAAAGGTTAGACAGAAAGCACCTTTGAGCTTAAAAAGATGGGATATCAGTGGATTTATCCTTCCTTCCTCCTCCTCTCTCCCTTCTTATTCAGAGGAAAGTAAATTTGTGGAAATAGACAAATCAAATTCTGCATATGCAGCACAGCGTGAACACCTTGCCCTGATTCAGAGACTGTCTCGTTCAGAAAATGTGCTCTATGGAGCAAACCTGGAAAATCTTTCTGCTGGGATGATGAGCAAATCTTGTGATAACCTCAGTGTGGAAACCAACAACAGGACTAGAGGCAAAAGCAATCTTGGCAGGTAGGTTTGCTTTCCCCTCTAAACGTGTGTAAGAATACTCAGTCATAGACTATATAATTGCAAACCTCTACGGTAAACTGTGAGGCAGACTTTTTTTTTTTTTTCAGTCTTTATTGTGGTCACACCACAAGGCTCTGTCAGGCCTGGGGCTCCATGGTGCCAGCAGTAGTGCAAACACAGGCAGGAAGCTAACAGTCTAACAGATAAAAACTTCAAAAAGAGTGACATTTAAATTTGTACCAGACTCAGGAATGAACCACTTATTGGGTTAGGGAGAAGGATAAAAATAAGGGAGAATAAACGTAAAATCTTTAATATCCATGGATCTTCTCTGGAAATGGAAGTATGTGAACTGAATGCACAGTGGAAGCTGGTTTTGAGAGGTCTTACCTAATTGATTCCCCCATGTCTAAATGTGCAAATCATAGAGAACAGCGTAACAACGTCTCCCTTTTAACTTGCATTGGTACATTCACCAGTGTAGGCGGTTATCACAGCTGCACACAGTCTCAAGGTCTTTCATGAGTTTAAGTGCCTTTTAGAACACTAAGAGTTAGAATAGAGCCAACATGAGCTACCAGGAAAACTTCCAGACATGGTTTTGGCTAAATGGACAGCAAGGCTACAAGAATCATGCTGAGGCTATGCTGTGTTTTCCTGATGCCTGCGCTCAGCTCAGAGAAAAACATAGGGAGAAGCTGTTATTTGGAAGCAAATTCTGGCAAGGATAAACTACCTCTCCCGTACAATGAAATATGGCCCAGAAATCAGAATACCTGTTGAAAGGCTATAAACATGCGTATTCCCAAATTGGCTCTGACAGACTAATGACAATGAAGAGTGCTAAATACCATTGCTGTTTTGTTATTGTAACACAGTCTTCATTTCCTGCTGTGCAGATCCACATCAGGGCTATCCCAGTCAGAAATGCACATCAATTTGAATGGAAAACAAAGGAGTTATGACTACCTCTCTATCCATTCAACTCAGAACACAATCAGTGGTGAGTATAACAATCATAAAGAGACTGTACCCTTCCATATTTATTGTTTCAATAGCAGGACACCAAAGTATATTCTACTTACAAATTAAAGAATATCCTTCTGCACTTCTAGTCCTGGGAGTTAACCCAGAGATTAGCAAGACAAGCTGTTTTCTTCCCTTTCACTCATGCTTTCCATCAGAATCAGTGGTAAGGGACTTGATGATAAAATTATTCTATCAATGGTGCCTAATGCTCTTCATATTTGTAGTTCAGGACAGCCAGGACTTTCACATGGGGCAATATCTCTATGCTCAGAGGTCATCATTTGGTTTACAATTGAGAGCTACAACTCAATAAATAATGCATGAGACAACATAGGCTCCAGGTCCTTCCTCTGTTCTTGCATTTGCATGACACTAACCGGAATAAGAACTGGACACCTAATTTTCTAACAGAAGCCATATTGCATGCACACAGTAGCGGATCTATGGCATAAAAAGCTGTGATTATTTAGTTAGTCCATTTTAAAATTAAAACTGTACTTCAAACACACTGTGGTAATTGTACTAAAGTAGCATTAACATTACAAAAGTCACCATCACAACCAGTACCGACTGGATCGCACCTACAGAGCCAAAAGGGCACACAGGGCCGAAGGCTAGAGTTTCCAGAGGAACTCATAGGAGATTTAGTATCCAAATCACCCTCGTGTTCAATGGGCACTACATGCCTGGCTGTTTAGATATCCTAATCTTAATAAAAACATTGCAGATAAGTGTGTACTCTCCCAGAAAGGAACATTATAGGAAGAGCTTACACAGCTACTGTAGATTTATTTTTCTGAAGTATACTTTTCTGAAGTATGCAGATTTCCAAACACTTGTTTGAACTTCCTTCCTGAATTATATTGATTCAGAAGTAATGGAATGTTGAAAACAAGGACAAAATATATTTTTAATTTTTGAAGCCCCAGTTTTGCATACTATATGAATCTACTGTCTCCCTGCATTAATCTGCATTTATTCTAGCTGTTTTGTTTCTGCAGCACCTGGATCACCAGCTATTCAAAAGGAAGTTTTGCTAAGTGGTCTGGAAAGAGAAATCATTTGTGTCAGCCTAAAACGTGACCCTAAGAATGGATTTGGTAAGTAAGGAACATGAATGTTATGTTTGTTACTGGGACTGTCAGATCCTGGTGCTCACACTGATAACTTGCTGACACAAGCTGAGCAAGACCGTAACCTTCTTCACCTCATTTATTCTTCTTATAGAATAAGACTACCAATCTTTGTGAAGGACTTAGAATTTACAAGACTGAAAAGGACTAAGCACATAAATCAGGGCCACAGTTTTTTCAGAGGATTAACTAAGGCCACAGAGGTCGAGGGGACCAAGTGCTAAGAGTAGAACGAAAGGAATAAGGGTCTAGTTTTGTATCTGAAATACATGTGCAGTAATTTTATTTATCTTAGACCTTGCACAGGGGGAGATGATTTTCTGCAAGGCTTTCAGGTATTGCCTGTGGGTGTGCAAAATGTGTACACAAGCTTAACATGCATGTTTCCCAACTTTTGAATTCTTTCTTTGATAACATTTTTGTTATACAATACCCTAATGCACTGTATCCTGTTCTCATGTATGAGTTCAGAGGACCATCAGGTTTCACAGTTCAGAGGTCCATCAGGTTTCACAGCTGACCATTAATAAAATTAAACATCGAATTTCTAAATGGTGCAGGTCTATGTGGAATATCCTGATCCCAACCCCAACTATTCTACCAGTAAGAAGAATATAGTCTGCAATAGGCAGAATATTTTGAGCTAGGATAGTGAAATTGAACTACTTGACAATAGATTTAATTTTCTTAGGTATCTCTTACATATCCATTAGAAGTTTACATGGCCCAACTGAGGAGCCCTAGACTACATGATGTAGAAAAATGTTCAAATTTATCTAATGAGCTTTTATACCATTTTCCTCCTGCACGTGTTAAATACTAAGGTGCGCAGTTTATGACTCTTGTAAGAAAGAAGTTGGAATCTTTAAAAGTCCTAAGCCAAGAAACTATTTTTTATTGAGAAATTATCTTTAAATAGCCATCAAAGTCACCAGCACACTTTAATTATAACATGAGTTTAAAGCTCTCCCAAATCAAGACCTTAATGCCATGTAAATCAGAGCTCTCCATTCTACAGACCATGTATAAAACTTCTGCCATTGTAGTAAGACCCTTTTGTGCTCCTAAGGTTCATCTTTTCTAATACTGCCAGTACCTCTGCATTCTCATGATATCTCATTTTTGCAGGTTTTGTAATTATTGGAGGAGAAAATGTAGGAAAATTAGACCTCGGTATCTTTATTGCTTCAATTATCCCTGGAGGACCTGCAGACAGAGCTGGAAATATCAAACCAGGTCATTGTCCTTAGTTTTTAATTAGAATTAAAATACTTTCATGGTTTAAAGTTAGCTACTCTGAAATTATTTCCTTATTTAGATGTGCTTTGTCTTGTTTTTATCTTTTTTTTTTTTTTAAAGGAGGACGACTCATCTCTGTGAATAATATTAGTCTTGAGGGCGTTTCATTTAATACTGCAGTTAAAATCATACAGCATTCTCCCGATGAAGTGGAGCTCATCATCTCTCAACCCAAAGGTATAAAGGCAAATGCCTTTACTGGTTATGGAATGCTAATACTTAACTCAGGACACTGGTATTTATTAGGCAGTGGGATGTAGTAGTACTTTCTTGCTACTCAGTGCCAGTTACAATAACCATAGGCTAGCAGTGAAAATAGTCAGCTTCTAGTAGGTAGCATGTTATCTCTGTTCTATAATGAGTATGAAAAAATCTATTATGGGCTACATTGCTGAATATCAAGGGAATTTTGGCATTTCTTTCTCTGATAGAGAGTCATAGTCCTCTGCAGTGATGAAGCAAATACATTTCTCCACGCTTACAATAGCAGTGCTCCATTTTACAATGACTGACTCATTTTACAGATACGATTTCACAACCAGTTGATGCAGGAAGTTACTTTGTCCACCTGTGCTGAAGTATAATATTTACCTTCAAGTTCACCTACTGTTTGCATTCTGCAATGTTTTATTTTGGTATGGCTTTACAGATATGTATGAAGAAGGATTAAATGAAGAAAAGAATCTATCAAGAGGAAACAGCACTAGTGGATCTGAGATCTCTTGTGTAGACAGTGGGAGAAAAAAGATTCAGGATTGTCACACAGCTCTCCCCAAAGAACAGGACAAAAATATAGATGAACTTGAGAAGGCTCTTTCCTGGAGTTTAGCATCAAAATTGGGCCCTAAGATTCCAGTTCCTTCAGCTGATAGCCTGGATGTGGAGGTAACTGAGATTTTGATGCTGTTCAGTAATGTTATGCCCAGCATGTGTCTGAAAAACATGCCAGCTATATTAAGAATGGAAAGTAATGAAGAAATTAAAAAAATGAGGAAAGGACAAAGAAAACCTTGGAAGATGTTGCTTGTTAAATTACATTCGAAGTGTCAAAATAATAGACATGTCTAGAATACGTGAAAAAATGGGGAAACCATTCCACAAAATATTATTAAAAATTCTCCTCCCTTTTCCAGGAGGTACATAATTTTGATTATTTTCTTGCGATCTCTGAAGTTTTCAACCAGACTCAGAACAGCAACATTTGTGTCTAATTTCCTACTATTTCCTATGTCTATTTCCTACTAGTAGTTTATATACATTTAGACAGATGACATTTTGAGTAACATTAGTTTAAGCTTGAAATAATGTCAGAGAGATAAATGGTACCACTCCAGGCTTACAGTGACAGCAGGATCAAACTTTTTATATCTCCTAGAAACTCTCTCTTCTCTTCTTTCTTCCTTTTCCTCCCTTTTTTATTGATATGCTATAGTCTCATTAGTGTTTATATTTTTGAGACAGGAAGCTGACTCTTCGCACTTACCATCCCCATCTGAAACCAACTCAAAGGAAATCTATACCGTGGAGCTTGTTAAAGAAGAAGGGACTTTTGGAATCAGTGTGACTGCAAGTGTTACTGTTAATCTTTCATTGTGTTTGTCAAACTGTTACATGACCAAGAAACACATAGGAAAGTGTATTTATGTGGAACGAAGATAGAAAATAGGCTGATAACAAAAACTGTTAGCACGTCACGTTTCAAACCTAAGTGTCCGATTGATTGACAGAGAAAGCATACAGTACTGGCTTTGCTCATTTCCCAGTTATTGCCTGCATAATCTGTGAAAGAAGTGTGTTGGCATAAAGCATGTGGCACTACAAGCCCTTTTCATTCTTACTCAATTTGAGAACAAGACCAGATCAGGGAGGGATACCGGCAGAGCCTCTAGAAAATACACTGATGCAAAGAATTCCATGAGTCATGACTGGGTTTGCTGCTCCCCTGGAGGTCCTGGATCTCAAAGGCTGTATCTGTACAAGCACATTGCACAGGACCATGGGATGGGCTCAAGCAGTGTCCCACAGGCACTGTTTGATTGTTGGCAGCCCCCGCTGTCAACAGGCTTTGCCCTATGCTTCAACAAGCAATATAATAAGAATATAACATCCCATGCTAGGGGGCTGAAAGTTTAGCTGTATGGACTCAAAATAAGCCATGCTTGTTACTCTGAAGGTGAGAGAAAGGGCCCTAGCCAATTTTGTTTCCTAATATAAGGAAATACAGGTCTCGCTATATTTAGAGGACCAGAGAAGGCAGCAGTGAAAACCATCTGCCGCATTTGAATAATAATTCCTTGTCCTGACTAGCAAAGTTGAATTTATCCTTCCAGGCTGAGATGTCTTTACAGTCCTTGCTGAAACGGAGTGGGAAGCAACATCCATTTCATTGCCTGCAGAAGAAATTGAGGGCTGCTTTTTCATCTGAATTTGGCCAGGGGATACAGATGGACACAACATGATTCTTAGGTTAATCTGGAATTCCTCTGAGCTATAGGCTCTCAAGTGGCTGCACAAGCTCAGGTCCATGCTTTATATATTATCTCAAAGGTTAATAATTGCTGAATGCATATCGCATAGTTTGGAAGCTGAGCCAGGGATTGACTGAAAGATGCAACCCTGTTTTTATGTTAGCATAGGGAAAAATTTATGAACATTTAGTAAATGTTTTTATATAGCCACATAGAAATGCATTGCATTTTCTTGAGCAAATAAAACAAGATTACTGCCTAGGGAAGTGCATTACAACTAAATGGGACTTTGGATTAACATCCTCTTTCCTTTTTTTTGCTATTAAAAAAAAAAGTAATTACTGAAGCAGTTGCTTTGCAATACATGCGTAAATTGCTTTGATTATTATCACAGGAAGAACATGGGAAGACTCTGCTCTAATCTGTGGGCATATGTTTTGCAGGGTGGAATTAACACAAGTGTGCATCATGGTGGGATATACGTGAAGTCAATTATTCCCAGGGGACCAGCAGATAAGGATGGACAAATAAAGATAGGTAACATGTCTGGCAATAAAACTCTCAGCTGCAGAACTCATCATTAGTGTGGAATGCTTGCCACAGGGATAATGAAACAGATTTAGGATTAGAGGTCATAAGACTGTGAAATGTAATATGCACGCTGTCATTCCTTAGCCTGTCCCTGTACTACATGTAGATCTCCCACTGAAAAACTAGGAGCCCCACACCAACACTGTACAGTTACTCTCTATAGCTGCACACCAGCCTAGAGACTTTGACATCTACTTTCAGTGTTGCTGTGATAACCAGATACTCTCACTGCATTTACTTACAGGATACCCTGGTATGTTTTAAGTGCTAGTTATAGAATGCTGTGTAAAAAGCAGTATTGCTTTCATAAAAAGCAGCATAATTTGACACATGTAAGCATGAAGATCTATTGCAACGTGGGTAGCCTCAAGGCTTACACCCATTGAACTTGAACATCAAAGCAACTCGACCCTCTTCTATTTGTTTGTGTGTTTGTTTTCTTTTGCCTTAGGTGATCGTCTGCTGGAAGTAGATGGCATCAGCCTCTGTGGCATCACCCACAAACAGGCTGTAGAACACCTTAAGAAATCTGGCCAGGTTTGTACAACAGCAAGTAAAAAGACTTAGGGCTCACTATGTCCTGTGTAACTGGAACCTGTTCATCATTGGTTTAGATTGCCAAGCTGGTTCTAGAAAGGGGAAACTACCAATTGGCAGAGCCATGCCTGACTGCTAATGACAGAAAGGAGGACCTGTGTGCAGTTGCTTCTGTGGCAACATCCTTCACAGATGGTACCAAGGACTACTGCTTTTTGACAGATGGTAAGCGATAAAAAAGAAACTCAGGGTGACTTCTTACAAGGTGCAAGAAAGGAATGAATGAAAATAATTCTATGAAATTTCTGTGGGATGGAAGGAAAACTGCATACTGAATAAAAATATAATGTGCATTATTAATGGCATTATCAAAAATAAATTCTGAAAAAAAAATTCTGATGTACTTAGTTACAGGTGCTGGATATAGCTGAATTTATCCCAGGCATAAATACTCTATCTCTCAGTCTTCATGAGGTGGGGCTGGCATGGGCCGTCCCTGTCTGTACCTCTACAGAACACTCAGGCAGGAAGCAGCTGTGTTGTTGCCAGTCTGATACCCAAAGAGAGCACCGCCAACACAACTGCTGATGCTGTGTCAGTGATGAAGCTAGGGTGAACTGCTGCCCCCGGGCCAGGAGTGGAGACTGCCATCACTTCATTTCTTTGGTACAAAAGGCTTCTTCCTTTATGGGCTTGTACCAGATGGCATAAATTCTGTGAACACATAGTGGAATAGAATCCAGTTCTCCCCATTCTGCCTGTGTGATTTCAAGGGCTCACAGAAGTTAAAGGAACATCAGACTCTTATTTTGCTATTAGTATCAGCAGATCTACCTCTGCAGCACACAGGGAAAAGGTCTGCTAAGGGTATAATTTACATCAGCTCCTTAGGGGATACATATGCCACTGCTCCCACTCTTTTTACAATCCCTGCTTTGAACAGATAATACATTTGAAGTCAAACTGAAAAAGAATTCTGGAGGCCTTGGCTTCAGTGTTCTGCAAATGGAAGGAGATGCTTGCGAACCCCTTGGAGGAGCTATTGTCAGGATCAAAAGACTGTTTCCAGGGCAGCCAGCTGAAGAGAATGGCGAAATTGAAGTTGGAGACATCATTTTAGCTGTGAATGGGAAACCTGTTCAAGGACTCTTGTATCAGGTACCAGGCAGTACTATCACTGGGACTCCTGATGGGTAACATGTTAATAAAGACAATGGGATGAAAAGGCATTTAAACTTAATTATCACCAGAGTGGGTCAGAATTTGCCTATAATGAATCCAATTTCTATGTAGGATTCTTCTCTAGAATTCTTATGGAGAAGTGCCTTTCTGACAGAATTCTTACAGAGAATTTCTTCCACTATTTAGTTTTTAACTTTCTACTACTAATGCACAAAGTCTATTCTTAGATGCACATCAGTTGTTAATTAGTTGGAATCTTTGTTTCTGTTATGCATAATTAGAACATTTGTGCTTTATAATGTCATGTTGAATACCATGCCCCAGATTAAAATCTTTACCAGGTGAGGTAAATCCAGTGTAACTTTTTTACCTGGAATGAGAAATTCTATACCCACGTGAAGAAATTAAATGGTAAAAAAGGACTACATGTAGATTTATTTTTTTCATTGTAGTCTTTCCATCTTACGAAAATCCCTGAGTTTTGTACTTGAATAGGTAAGATAGGAAACAAACAGAAATGATGAAATCATGCAAATTTCCCACTGACAGGTCATTCGTATCATTAAATAGGTAGGGCAAAAGATAATGTGCTGTAAGTCCTAGACACCTGGCAGAGTGCTGTAACTGTACTAATATATTTTTCTGACCTGGACTCTGTCCTTTTCCAGCACTGTCTTGCTCCCTGGTGTAGAGCCTTTTTACTCAGCTTGTGCGAAGGGGCAGACAGGGAGTTTTGGCCCACAGCATTTTTATTCCCCCTCTAGATTAAGTATTTCATCTCCCACTATAGCTGAATGCTGAATGCCACTGAATAGACGTTATGTCAAGGAGGGGCTTTGAGAAAGTTTCCCTTTGGTTATGTCAAAATGGCAATCTATGGAGCTATGCTGATATAATTGACTGAAGATGTGTCTCTGCCATGAGCAGTTTGAACGCATTTGTCTGAAAATCCTGTTTTCTTCATGAAAAGAAAAGGGATTAATTTAAACCTATATGTCTGTTGGTGGAACAAGAGTTTGTAAATAGAACTGACTTGACTTCAGATACACATTCACATAAAAACTATGATCCCTTATATGACAATCATACAATAGTGAATTTTGGCTCCCAGATACTGCCGAGAGGCACAAATACTGGGAATTCGGCATTCACAATAAAAATTGTCTCCATCTCAGTTGGTAAAATGACATGTACTATAGACTGTGTTCCATAAGAAATCTAATATTCCTTCTTCCTGTTAGGATGTCTTGCACTTGTTGAGAGGAGCTCCTCCAGAAGTCACACTACTACTTTGCAGACCACCAAAAGGTGTTCTTCCAGAAATAGAGCAGAGTGCCCTGGTAAGGCAAAGCTTCTGTCAGTAAACTTGCTTCTGTACACCTGGAAAAACATTACTACATTTTCCATCCAGTCTTGAACAAGGCAACATTCCCTTTTCTCCAAGGCCCTCTATTCCATTTCTTTCCCTTCCTGGCTTCAACTGAACCTCTAGAGTTCAACTGATTCTTCTTTAGCAACCAAAACAATAGAAATCTGACAGATGTGAAACATGTTTATCCCAGTCCAGCAACTTTTGAGTTGCAATACTGTCAATGGAGCAATACAGCAGATCTTCTAGTAATGCTTCTAAAAATGCTCTACTAGACCCTCAGCCAGAAACCACAGATATTCTCAACTGCAACTATTATAACTCATGGGCTTGAGGTAGCTGTATTACTCCCAAAAGTGGGAGGAAAATAAAGAACTTTTCCTACCCAAGCTACCTCTTAATAAACCTAAATTAAATAATGATTTCAACTGGTTATTCAACATCTTATTGATAGTTAGCAGAACCTGCAGGGAAAAAAAAGAAAAAAAAAGAAAAAAAATCAAATAGTAGAGACTGCTGAGACTAAACCAATGCCTTTAGGTATGCTAGCATTATTATTCCTGTTTCTTGAACACAACTCATGGACACATACACAAGTACTCTTATAACGAACATGCATTTGCATTACTATTGCTTAATGCAGAATGGCCCACTTATGGTTCCTGTCCCACCAGGATTTATAAGTGCTGCTCCTGGGCAGACAGATATGACTGTCAGGACCATCTCAAGAAAACAAACTGACTCCTGTTGCTCTCCTGCAATGTGCCTGATGCTATTTAGTTAGCTAGGCTGATTTCTGTGGTCAGTTGCACAGGAGTCAAATCTAGAGGACACTTCTACACAGTGAAGAGAACATAGACATAAAGCTGAGGCATGATATGAAAAGAAATAAAAAGCAGCTACCCCTAGCAAAGAATTCATTGAGAGAAGTGAACTTGCATAGTATTTCCCTGGCTGGAACTCCGGAAGAATGAGCATAAAGACAAAATAGTTATTTAGTGAGAGAGTATCTCCCTCTATTTTTTGCCTCCCTTCCAGCTACCATTTGATATTTTCATATTCAGATGCCTATTGATATTTCCTCTCCAAATTCTTTCATTCTTAAAGGAAAAAAGATGTCAGATAAAAAAGGAGTTATACTAACCTTTCTGTTATTTTGATAGACCCCAGGACCATCTCCAATTAAGGAGTTTGTGGCAGAAATGCCAGGCAATACAGAGGTAGAAAATAGTATGGATCAGTCTACCAGTGATGGAGGTAGCACCTCTCCAGACCTCGAAGACTGCCTGGATTCTCCAGTGGCAGCAGATTTCAGTGAGCCTCCTGAAGAGGACAGCTCACCTTACGAAGAGCAGGAAGCTGAGTTTCAAGAGACGTCCATACAGAAACTTATGACTCCCAAGGAAAATTTCTATAAGCGTCTCTGGAAGTTTCATCAAGAAGCTGCCAGTTCTGAAGTCATCCATTCCCTAGAGGAAGAAGTGAAGCAGAACTGCTACTCACCATGTGAATTTGGATGGGCCAAAAGGTAAGGAATACTGAAATCTGCTCTGCAGCCGTTCCTTTAGCTTTTAGAATTTTGAAAGTGAATTGCTTAGGTTAAGTACGGGGCTATCTGTTGTCTCTATTTACTCCCATCTTATTAGAATTTTGTGTAAGTCTGCATTGCAAGACAGTTGTATGAGTGGTGCACTACTGTAATCATTTATGCTGTTCAGCTGAAGCTGGCTGCAGTTTTAAATCAGTAGAGAGACTCTTGTTGACTTAAATTGGAACCAAAGACTTTCTTATTTATTATATGACCTTTGAGTTTCAATTTTCTCAGTTGACTTAAATAAGCACCCAAAATTTCTTTCTTATTGTATGATCTTTTAATTTCAAATTTTTTCAGAGAAAATAAAAAAAAAAACTCAGAAGAAAAACTGTGATCAAGGAGAAAAAAAAAAAAAAAAAAAGAAGTTATTTTCTGGTCTTCAGAAGCCAGTAGAAGCCCTGAGCCAGAGGCGTTACACAATAAAATACAGTGCAAATGAACTCAGCCTCCTTTTATACTGTTTTGGATATACTAGACACTGGCACACAGAAGATGATCCATTCCATTTTAATCATCTTTCCCAGTGCAAAAGAAGATAAATTATCAGAACAGAAAGCATTGGAGAAAAGAAAATTTCAGTAATTTTATCTAGAAACTAGTATCTTTTTTACCACACAGTCACTTGAAATCCTTTTGTTACTCTTGACATTCATCAAGCACAGCAGCAGAGAGTCAGAGATTCCAGCCTCTGTGGGGAGTCACAGCACTAGCTGTCTGCGAGTCCAGCGAGACCATAATGGCAATTCATACTTTTGGCTCCTCTCTCTTGAGAGAAGCTTCACTCACATTCACGAATCAAGCTCCTGCTTACATATATGCTTCTCTGCTGCTAAAAATAAAATCAGCTGAAATGTGTACTGTAGCAAACATATTTGCCAAAAGATATAGTTTCAACAAAAATAAGTTTCTTGTGGGAAAATATCAATTCCAAGAAAAGTTTTGGATTCTTCCCAAGAAGGAAGTTCTGAAATAAATGTTTTTGTTTGGTACATTCTTAGCATCATTTAGTTTCAGCTTTTGCATTTTCAAAAGGCAGCCAGAGCAGTTTAAGACAGCATGTGTTTTAAACAATATTTTAAATGTAACCTCAGTTTAAATGATCCTTCCAGCTAAAAACATATTAAAAAACCCCAGAAGGACATAGGCATTAATGAAGGTATTCTTTTGATTAATGAAGAAATTTCTTTTCTTCAGATTGCTCAAAACTTTTCATGAAAATGTAGAAATCTTCTGATAGGAATTTTAAAAGTTCCCTGCTCAGAGTTTCCCATGGAAAATTCCTTTCACTCTTCTTCTCATTGCCACCAATAAGAATCTTTGAAAAAGCTTCTTTGAAAAACTTTAACCCATAGTTTTCCCCTGTGAAGTCGAGATGTAGGGGTCACGAGACTCCAAAAGAAAGTCGAGCATGTCAGTGGAGCTCAGGTATGGGCCTGCAGGACCAAGACTCAGGTTATTTCCCATGGTGATGTAGAGATGGGCTGGAAGCCGTTCTATGATTAAGCCCCTGCTATCTCATTGCCTTGAGCTTGTGTAGCTCTGCCAGACACCTTTCGTACCCTTTGAAGATCAGTCAGCACTCCACTAGTACATGACAGGTTCTATGACACCCACATTGACCAATGTCCACTGAAGTTACTCTTTTCTTTTCTGACTCCTAAAGAAAGCAGCAGACTGCATTTGCTTTTATCCTTAAACATTTATTTTAATTATCCCAGTCTTTTTCCACAGTATTGTTAAGTATCTGTTGTCCAGCTATTAAAGCACAAACTGTCAGCTTCATTCTCAGATTTGCTGAGCTACTGGAGATGGGCACAGATATAAGCTAACAGACTAGATTGCTTCCCTCACTGAAGGCATACAGCACAAGCCTACAAGTTTCTCTTATTTTCATCAGTATTTCAAAAACACCATCAAAGGCTACTAACCACATCCAGCCAAAATGCCTGTTTTGCTACTTTGCTTTATATTTTCCTTCTGACTATTGACAACTTTTGAAACAAGAGCTTAACACTGGGCATCTTTTATGATTTCATACAAGACACATAATTCGTGTTCTTTTTAGCTTGGGACATTAGCTTGTATGTTTGCTTGGGACATGGCAGACAGTTCAGTTCTATCACAGAGTGAAAAATCCTAGGTGACGTATATATGAAGTCTTTGATATATGAAGTATTAATAAAAGCTATGCCATTTTAAGTATTTCTAAGATTAATGAGGTTTAGCAATATTTCAATAAAGATCAGTATGAAGAAAACAGATACTTAAAAAAAAAAAGTGTTTTAAGCATTTCTATTACCTTTAATGGTAAATTTATTGGGAGAAAATGTTATAGCAGTCTATTAGAGTACATTAATGGCAACAGCCAAAACAATATTAAACACAAACATAATTACAGTCTGGGCTTGAACATCAAAAGTGAATACTGTGTCTCCAATATAGTGAAATAAAATCAATAATAATTGTAATTCAAGTAATTGATCAAATCCTTTGATTTCCATTGAACAACTCTTATGCTTCAAGACAAGTATAAGAATAAAAACAGGCTTACAAAGAGAGGTCAAGACTTGTATTTTTTTATGGAGAGACAGGAATAAATTTATATTTTGTGTTTCTGGTCTGTGCTGTAGTTACCAAGGAAAGACC